ATATAGTTAAGTTTTCAGCTTAATAACACAGGAAACTTTTCCAGGTGCTTATTACCTATATTTTTTTCCAGTTTCATAAAATATTTTGAGAAGCAAGATTTAGTAATATGAGGGCATATATCAGGGAGAAAAAGCTTTAACATTGAAGAGAAAAATTTCCATTGAATTTATTTCATTGTTTTCTAAATATGTTTATTAAAGTATGCGTATTTATCCATATACATGGCTTAAATAGTGTATTAAAGTAAATTTATTACATTGGAAATCTCCCAGTGTGTCATAGTGAACAGACTATGAGCGATGCTGGTGTTTTAATGTGTTTCCATTTTGTACCTGTGAGCACCTTGGTTCTAGTGGAAAGTACGCAACTCCTGGAATCGATTGATCTGAATCCTGTTCCCCATCCTATCGTCAAGGACAACTAAGTTCACAACCTTGGGCAAGTCACTGACCCCACGAAGGGGTATGTTGTGAGTTTGTAACTTGCTCCAGGCTACTGCTTATGGATTAGTTGGCATCTTGGTTTGGGGCCCCCCCATAAGGGGCAGAGCGTCGTATGAGGCACTTTAATACTTAATCAAAAGTATCTCTTATTGTGAAAGTGTCCTTTACTATTATGGAATAATCTGGGGCTTGTGAGATCTGGGAGCTGCAATATCAGTGTGTTTTACTGGAAATTGTTTTCTCCATCAGGTAGCTATTAGAATGTACTTCCGGAAATGGTTATAAAGCATTTTCATCCTAGGAAACAAGTATCTTATGAAAAAGTGGTTTAGGTTTCCGATTACATTGTAATGAGCACTGTAGTTACTATAATCAATCTAACCTTTTTTTTAATCTTGTGGGTTTTTGTTTAAACCATTGCTTTGAACTGCTCATGTGATACCATGTCAAGCCTCAAACAGTAAGTGAGGTTTTCAAAGACGTTCTGAACATAAACTTTCAGGTAGTCAATGATTTGACACAATTTTAATGCACTGCTGTTTTTAAAATGTTGAGCCCAGTCTTCTGGTGAAGAAAAAGAATTATTATTTCTGTCTTCACCATGATACCCTTTCCACCAGGCCCTCCCAAGCACCATGGGGCCGTTCAAAGGTGTTCACTGGAGTGCTTTCTAAGAATATAGTTGTAGTCAGTTACATTTCAGAACCACACCCATGGGTCTGCTTGAAAATTAAATATGAGCCACTTTCGAAATTAACTTTTTAAAAACTGTCCACCTTCATACTCAAACATTTACTTACTTTGTAAGCAAGGAGCTGGTGATCCATATTTCTTCCTAAGCTTCCCTGCTTCCTTAAATAGGACTTCTCAAGTTACCTTTTCAAAGTAGCCCTCCCTGACCTGTGTAAAATAGCACCCACCCCATCTCTATCCTCTAGCCTATCTTATTTTTTTAAACACCTTACATATTATATATTTATTTTTAATCATCCATTTCCATAACTAATCTCCATGAAAGCAAAAATCATTGTTTTTTATTATTATTATTACTTTTCTGGTGAATCTATAAGACCTAGAGGGCTGGACGGCCCACAGTGGGCACTCAGTTGATATTTGAGTGACTGTCCCAGGACAGAGTAAATATGTGGGCCTGAGCCATCAGTGAAGGAACATAAACGAAATTCTGATGAGTATTGGGTAGTGGGGAGAGACTAGGCTATTTTCTTAAATCCTTAGAAGTAGATGGTAAATGTCTATGATGTATTTAAGTAAATGTGTGAAAGGAAACATGCTTTAAAAAAGGCTTTATAGAACTATCAATAGAGTTTGGGGATTTTCTGATACTTTTTTTTTTAATTCTGCACTGTGTGTGTTTGCTCTGCTTTTTCATGTGAGTGGCTTGCTTCATTGCTCATTTGTGAGCAGCCCGCTCTGGCGTTCTGTGGAAGGTGGTGGTTTGCCTCTTATAATCACATCATTTTATGACCCTTTATGTTTATGTTGCTTTCCAAAGTAGAAACCAGGCTTGAAGTGCTCAGTGTGCCTAGAAACTCACTGCTTACTGAATGGCATCGTTTTCATGTTGTGTACTTTTGGGTGACACATACTTGGAAATGAAGAACGGTACACCCACGCACATTAAGTTCATCTCACCTCCGTGTGGTGTGCAAGGGAAGTTCACAAACGTTAAGGAGGCATCATTCCACGTTGCTTTTGCAGACCACAATAATAAAGGTTTCTTGAATTTGGTGTTTATCGACCCCCTTTTCAGAGTAACTGCTCTGAGCACAGGAGTTACATATTCCTACGAAGAAACGGGAAGACTAAGATAAACACCTGCGTGCCTGTTTGCACAGTATTATGCTGTCTTCAGAAGCTTTGAAAAATGGAAGCTGATTTCTAATCTCCAGAGTAAGGGAATTACATGTACCCCCTCTAATCAGAGTGATTGGGGAATTTCCCTGTGTCTGTCGATTTGTACCTTTTAGATTTGCCATCTTTGATGCCAGATCCTCTGGCACTAACATAAAAAAAAAATCTGAGGTAGAGAACAGATCAGGGGAGAAGGGGAGATTTTACTCTTTGATAAATAAAGAAAAATGGTGTCCTTTTCTTTGAGCCCTTGCTCATAATGGGCTTGCAAATTGGCCTGCATATTGTTGTGTCTCTGACTGAGCACACCCCACACAAGTTTTTGTGTAGCTTCAAGTCCTCTAGGGTTTTCTGTTTCACCCATTTCTTTCTGTTTCTCAGACCTTTTCCAGTTGCTTCTTATTGATAGCCTCGCTCATCCCTGGCCATTGCCCCTTTGGCGGGGCCTTTGCACGAGCTGCTACTTCTGACAGTTGATGTCAGAGCGAGTCCTGAGTTGGCCTGCAAAGTCTAGCACATCCCAGGCACACCCTTTCCCCTCGGTGCCATCATCCCTAACCTCTCAGCACCTTCTCTCAGCGTCTCGGCGAGGAGAAGGGACACACAGAACACAGGCAGTCGGGAAGGAACAGTGTTCATGTATCTTCTACAATATCCGTGTTTTGGGGGGTAAAAGGGGGGCGGGAAGAAAGCATCAACAGTCTGGTCAGACTGTTTTCTATCTGAACAGTGCTGAGGTGAAAAGGTTTTGTGTTCTGTTTAATTTTGCAATTCACTAAAAAAAAAATAATGTTTATCAAAAGGCTGTTTGTGTCAGGTTTGCTAACATCTGATAGGGATCCAGTGATGAGTCATCTGCATGTACCCTCCTCTGAGACCCTAACAGACCTCCTGGGGGGAGTCCATGTGTCAGGGGCTCCGGCAGGACGATGGGGAGGTTCCGCAGGGGTGGGTTTTCAGGGAAGGCTGCAAGGATTGCTGAGCAGCTCAGGCCTTGAAGCAGAGGTAGGATTTCAACCCGATATGTGTGTGCTTTGAGACAGCAGAGGGAGAGAAGACAAAACCAGTCTTTTATTTAACTGCTTCTGCAACTGAGAAGATGAGAGCTCAGAATCAAAAACGTCTTTCCATCAGAAATGACCACAGACTAAGACATAGATTGGGGGTTTGTAGTTCCTGGAACCACTCTTGCTTAGGGTTCCTTTATATATTTATCTTCAAAAGCTGAAGCAAGAACTCTGGCCACTTAACTTGGAGTGCGGGAAACGAGTTAAGTCGGCTCGCGTGAATTGCGCGTACTCCGCGGGAGCCGTCTTTAACTCGGTTCATATAGATTTGCGGTGGAGTGCGGGAAA